ATGAAGGACGAAATTAAACTGGCTAAACGACAAAGGAGGAAAGCTAAAAGGAAATGGAGAGCCTCTAAAGCACACATCGATTTACTGTCTTACCGTACTATGAGAAATCGTGTGACATTTCTGAGTAACAAGGCTCGTAGTGACTATTATACCAACTTCATATCTGAGAAAAGCACAGACCAAAGAAGGTTATTTAGAGCAAGCAAGTCCTTGCTAAATTTATCGAAAGGTTCTGGCCTTCAATTATCTACCAATTATTATCAGTTGGCTAATGATTTTGGACAATTCTTCGCCCAAAAAATTGCTGGTATCAGGTCTAATATCAGGTCTGTTAGTACAAACCAGATCAGCCTTCCTGTCAACGCAACTAGTACTGTAGCTGCTTCCTGTTTTTCAGAATTTAATCTGTTGTCTGAATTAGAGGTGTTTGATCTAATCACAGCTTCGTCTAAGAAGTCCTGTCCTCTTGATCCTATTCCAACCAAGCTTCTGAATGAGTGCGTCGATGTGCCACTGCCTCAGATCACCAAAATAATTAACCTTTCGCTTGATTCTGGTTATTTTCCGCGCACCTTGAAGTGTGCTCTAGTGCAGCCGCTGCTGAAAAAGGATGGATTACCCCCTCTCTTTAGGAAATTCGGACCAGTGAGTAATTTGGCATTTATCTCAAAGCTAGTTGAGACTGTGGTTGCCAAGCGACTACAACATTTTTTAAATTGTAACAGTCTGTTCCCGGTGTTCCAATCAGCTTATCGACAAAACCATAGCACAGAAACTGCACTGCTTAAGGTTATGAATGACACTCTTGAACATGAACAATCAGTGTGTTACTTTGCTAATTCTGCTCGACTTGAGTGCTGCCTTTGATACAGTTAATCACGACACCATGCTACGTCGACTTGAATACTCATTTGGTATACAGGGAAAAGCCCTCTCCTGGTTTGCATCCTATTTGTCTGGAAGAACTCAGCGGATAATGATCAACGAGTCACTATCTAAACCTTTTAAATTAGAATGCGGGGTGCCTCAACGTTCCTGCCTTGGTCCGCCATTGTTCACGTTGTACACGAGTAAGCTTTTTGAGATAATTAAACATCATCTACACATTATTCACTGTTACGCTGATGATTCACAAGTTTACATCTCATTGTTATCATGGTTGTTTTTATTATTGTGAGTTTACTTTTAATGGTAATCTTAGCTTTTTTAATTATTGTAAGTTTACTCTTAATTGTAATTTTAGCTTTTTAGCCTTTTCATTTCGTTTTTTAATCTTGTCATGCGCATTTGAACATTTTATGGCATTTGCGCATTATAAATGTCCTATTATTATTATTATATGTAAGATACAGATATTATTATATATATGTAAGATACAATTTCATTTTGGCTCAGACTTTAACAAAATTTGATCGCTATGTTGAATTAAAATAGGAAAAAGAGGGTAATTGTTTCTTAATCAGTGTTACATACCTGCTGTTCTATACCTGGAAGAGCACCAGAGTTATTTTGAAAGGGTTGCAATTTTGGCCACTACTTCAACATCAGCAGTACTGGGTCCTCTCCAGCAAGGTCCCCAGTATCCTTGTATTGCTGAATCAGTCTTTCTACACGAACTTCAGCCATTGTGTGAAAAAGACAATTTCACAACTTATTATTTTTCCACATAGACTCGACATGAATTCCAACGTTTCATGTATTTGCTTTAGGCACTTAAAGTAACTTAACGAATTGATTCTATGCAGTTGTGTGGACTGTCAGCGCTGACTGAACTACAATTTGGAGTCTCCTATATTTCGCCTTCGGTCACTTTTCGAAGATAACCAGTACACTCTCAGTCTTAAATCTACCACTTCGAATTTCGATTTGTGCACTAATTTAATTCAAAATGAAATCCGTTCTGTTTATGAATACGGAAAGCGATTGCGACGAGGCCGAATATCTAATGGATTACTTAGCAGGTAGGCTACGCTCAACAGCAGTTGTGAAAAACATAACCGGCACCTTAGCCGAGAACTTGGATTTTAAGGGAGAACTATGTACTAGTGACTGTCTCATACTTATCAGTTCGCGCCAAGCTTCGTCCCTTATACAAGACAAATGCCAAGGAACCCAAGGAAATTACATTTCATTTGACGGAAAAGTTATTCAAGAAGAATACACAAGAAATTAAGAACTTGTGGGCAAAACGGTTGTCGTTTGCTTCACGGCAGAAAACAAGAATAATTGGATCCCAACTGGTATGAACGAAAAAAAAATGTTTAATTTACATGGCGAGAGAATTGGACGAAATAATCCATCCCTCCTCCTCCTTGAATACACTGTAAGACAAGTGTTGGGAATAACTGAACTGGATTGGCAGAGGTGGACAATTTCATTCTGATTAACAAGGAGAACTGAAATGGCCGATGTATTTGCTTGAATCCTTCATAAAGAAAATATATGTCATATAGTTGTGTGCCCCCAGAATTTTCTCTTATTGCAGTGGAGACCATGAACTTATTTGGTAGACCAGTTAATTACTCAAAATGTGTAATTAATTACATTATTAACTATAGCTGAGTGTGATTGCTTGTGTTCTGCAATCAAAACACGGTTGAATAAAAATTGGATGTTGAAAAGCCGAAATTGTAGCGCAAAGAAAGTGCATATTTCTGAGTGAAAGTTGACCGTGCTATCACTCTATGAATCCATTGGAATTGACGGTGTATGTTACATATATCTGACATTAATAGTTTTCTGGTCAGCACACTAACGGAGAGGAATGTAGCATGTAGAAAATGCTTATTCACTCCATGCTTAATTACGTACTTGGTTATTTGATGAATTATTACTGAAGAAAACAATTAATTTGATCAATAAAAATACAACATGCGTGTGAGTGCCAGTTGAATTGAAATTTTCTTTAATGCGTAATTAGGATTAATTGTTCGCTTAAAATAAAGTTTGATTTACTGCGGAAATGTTTGTCTCTTGATTTTTATTCACTGATATTTGAGTGGCCGGTAGTAATAACACAAAGCACCAAATGGAAATTGAATGAGGGAGTCAATCTATAGCTCACTGAAACAACTCTATGGCGAGACAGTACATGATCATGTTCAACAACAGTTGAGCAAAATAAATGAATGTGGAAGCTCCTATTACTTTCCAAGTAAGGATATGGAAGTGAGTGGGAAAAATGGTTTCTCTTTTGTGATCAGTCGTTTTTCCCTGCTAATCTAGATGTAAAAGACACTCATCAATGTTCGTAAAGGAATTAAGAATTTGTTTTTTAATGGCTGATGATCACGCAAACTTTAAAGCGACATGTTTTCGAAAATTAGAAGACAGCTGCATAGCTGGAGGGTCTGTATTGCGATGGGTGTGAGGCGATTTTGTTCACTTGCGCCTTTGCCGCTCATCATTTAAAGCAAACACACCATTGAGTGCACACAAAACCCGAATAAAAGGCACGGTCCTACTAAACTATGTTGAACAACACAAATGTGTCTTTCGCTGATTGGTAAAGTTTAGTTTGGAATAAATAAACATCAAAAGCCAAACGTAGAGACTTCTTTGAGAGTATCGTTGTTTACGGTATAAATTAAAAATGTAGATGAAAATTCATTCAGTGCTAAACGGAAAAAGAAATTAAAAAGATGTATAAGTATGCTCTCTAAAATTTACTATTTCATAAATACGAGCAAAAACTTGTTTAAGCTGTATCATAACTTAATTGAGCCATTTTTAAATTAATGCGTAGTTGATTGGGGTAATGCTTATCACTCAACTTTGCACCCTTTACTTAATTTACACAGAATACTAAATGAAGTAATAATAATTACGCACCTTCTCCTTCTCTTGCCGTTAGGTAAGTCGAGTAAATTCTGGTTAACATTTATAGGATTTCATCAGGAATAAAATGCCTAAAAATTCCATGAGCGTCAGGAAATCAAGTGAATTACCTAACGCCATGCCAATACATCTCGAAAGTTGATGTTTCACTGGGCTTTTACTCATTCACCCCAGATGTTATAGAAGTAACCTACTAATTGTTTTGCTACAACCTTTTTCCATAATCGAAATTATGTTTCATCTAAATTTTTTCCTATCAGAATAAACTATGAAGTCGAACTGACAGTTAAAACACCACATATATTGACATGTTTTCTCATTCCCCAACATTATTGACCATTTCTAAACATTTCAAATAGAGGTTATGGATGCCTTTTTCGGTCCAGCTTCTCTATAAGTCTGTAATCACGAAACCTCCTTCTTTCAATGAGATAACAATGTTTGCCAATACCTGCGTATTACAAACAGCTTTCGACAAGAAAGAAACTCCCACCTCCTGTCTGTGTCCGAAGAGTACGAGTCGCTTCTTTGCAACAAACAAGAAGTTTACTGGCAAGAAACATTTACTCTTGTAAAATGTTCAGATCGTAATTTGAATAAGTAAAACTGCTTAATAATAACTGGATAGTATCATTATTTTAATAAAACTTAATTTAAATAATATTAATAATAATAAATTAATAATAGCATAATAATAACTGCTATTCAATATCAACACGTGTATCGCCACGTACAATTATAAACATTAATTCATTTACGACTGGAATAATCTAACCTTAAGGACAGCAAAGTGCTTGTCTGATTGTCTGCTTTACTGCCTGTCTTATTTCACTGTAACCTTCTAGCCGTAAAGAAACGGATTTAACGGCGAGTTAAAATAAACTAAGGTACTTACCACTCCCCTCACGACCACTAAATGTGATGAATATGTTTTATTGTTTCTGATCACAATCAGTTCCACTTTGCCGTATGGTAAATAAAGAACGATTAAGGCTAAATATATCAGCAGTACACTACCTTTTTCTATCGAGTAATGTTCAGTGTATTTATTTGTCTCGGATGTTTTTTAACATAATCCTGTACTTGGGCGTAACGATGACGGAGAGCTTGGAAAATTTTCGTTTACAAAGTGATTTAGATTACTAGGCAAGATGGAACACCTATACGGCTATATCATGAGGTTATACGGTGATCTAAACTGTGTAATAAGAAACTGACACCAGATAAAATCCAAGACAGAGCTACAATGACGTACGTGCGTTTTAAGTTACATCTTGTCTGTCTGCATCTCAGCCCAAACAACAGGGCAAGAAGTCTGTCCACGATCATTGCCGTCAACGTCAATAAAGATACTCCGCATAAAGTACAGCTTGTACTTAGTGCTGTGTCTAAAACGTATCGACAAATTCTCTAGTGTCTGTAAACAACAGACATCCAATGAGTAGCATGAAGAGGCTGGGTAACAAGAGCAACCAACATATCAGTTGTTGCCGGACAACGCCGTGAAAGAGTTTGGAAGGTTGAGGAAGGGAAGATTCCTTGTGAAGGGCAACAAGGATAAGAGTATTCCCAAGAGATGCTGTGATGGAGAAGAGAATGTTAACTGCTGGGAGATAAATTGATTGTTGTTGTAATCATTTACCAAAAAGGAGAAATATTGCGGTTCTTCAAATATAATCGTTTGTGCTCCACTTCCCGTCAAATTTGTTGTCCTTGTCATTCTGTGATCGTTTTCGTTTTCTTGTAAGATACCTGTGATTGGATTAAGATATATACTTCTTCAGCGAGGATATCAATTCTACCTTTCTTTCTTAAAATCTATCTCATAAATACTTCCCCAGTAGTACTTATCCATTCAAAGTGGGTAGACAAACAGTCTGCTGCGTGAAATGAGTTAATTGAAGGCATTTTTTTCATGTTTTTTTTTTCATTTACCTTTGCATGAATTGGTTTAAAAAAGGCGAATATGGAGACCTATGTAATATGTTAATTTTATAGCGCTGCAAAAACCCTTTAATTTCCTCTCTCCGATGAAAATAAAAAAATAGTTTGCGAGAGATCTTGAGAACTTAAAATGGAAAGACCAAGCCATGACGTAAATCGTTCGAGGAGAAAATTGAAGAAAGTGAAAATCTCTAAATACAAAATAACAAAAGAGTTGAAATGAATATATGGTCACATACCATAATATATTTTAAGAAGAATTCTAGACGAAGTGATTCGCGCCAGGTCATAATATCATAATATAACCATTCAAGCAGGATGTTTGACGGAAAATTGCTGAGAACGGAAGTGTTGAATCAGCCAGATTTCATCTCCGTTGGAGGGATGCATCAAAAGATATAACCTGCATTTTAAAACTTGATGAATGTTGTATAATAGAAGCTTATCACTTCTTGTGGCAGTTTTTGTAGCATCAAGAAGCATAATCATCTGTTTTTTCCCATGATTTGTAGGCGTGTCTTACTTTCTGTATCAAACGATAATAACATACGTCAACAAACAAGCAATTCTGCGATATTTAAGCCTCTTTTTACTGTGAAAAGTCCTCGAGAACATCTCACGTAGGAAATTTTAATATAAACATCAAAAACGATCCAGTAGCCCTCTTCAGCAGGGTAATGCTCTCGTAAATTATTGGTCAATTTAGTGGGCCGTAGTCATCTGGGCCTCTAATCAACCCAGGTCAGGGACTCCATTTAGTTCAATTTTATTTTTGAGTCTACGGTGCTCATGGCAATGTAGACTCCTTTTCATCGTGCCCGTGAGTCCGTCCGTGAACATTCCCATCATTCGTAACGGCCTTACATATGCAAACGTTGTCAGTACTCAGTTATAATAATTCGTTTGGAAAAATAGCTGAAAGCACATTTCTAAGTTGTTCGTATGACTCAAGATTCACTCCTTGCATCCATCACTCAATCACTCACTCTTGCCACTTCTTCTTTTCACTCCTGATAACGTTTTTGTAAGTACGCCAGCGTATAAGGCCTTCACATGTTCAGTTCGAATTTACAGCATGGGGCTCAACTGATAATTAAGAATTGGTCAAAATTTTGGCAGTCTGCTGAGAAGTAACGAGAATTTAACCGAAAGCTAAGACCTGAGACCAGAAAATTTACTGATGGATGAAAAATCGGTTGAAAATCAAGACTACGAGCATAAGGTCTCAGTCAAGGTTTAAACAAATCTTGCGCATACGAGGCGCTCGGATAAATATATATTCGGGTGACGAGTCGTCAGCATTACATTTCAGTTTTACAGACCTTTTTTTAACCTTGTTGATCTGGAAGTTGAATACTCGATCGCCAAAAACCACAACATCCATGAAATATTTTCTGAAATGATTAAAACCTCCCTTCGAAAGCGGTTAAGGAAAAAAAACCGCTGTGCTTCGGTAGTTGCTGCTAAATGGTAATTTCGATAGGAGATTAGGAGTTATTAGACAGTTATTCCACGAGCGCGCAATGGATATGGGATGATAGATAACCAACGAAGCCCGTAGGTTACTTTATAAACTTTATTTTTTGACGCGTACACTTACCATATTTGTAAAGCATGGTATAATTGCACATAACTCATCATGATAGCTAAGCCAATGAAACCTCTTGAATTGCGTCATCCAATGATCCACATTTTAGTAAAATAGATTAACATCCTCTGCTGACAAAATTTTTTACTCTCATAAACTGTTTGCGAGATGAAATATTGGAAAAGCAATTCTAAATATTGAAGGTTTAAGCATGGTACATATTAGATCTGTATCTGCAATTTTTATTCTAATTTTATTCTAAGGGATCTGCCTCTAATCCCTAGAGTAAATAGAAAGAAATGGGTTATTATTGAATAATTAGGCTAAGTGATACAACATAGTTGAAGATTGATGCTTAAATGAGTGAACCCTGCCTCTTTAGAATCATCAACATTCGTATTTTGCTAAACTTACTCTTCAATTCTCGCAAACATCAATCAGAATTTCATGTTTCAATGAAATCTTGTGTTATACTAAATGTCACGTAACTTTTTGTGCTGCGCCTAATGATTTGTTGCTGAGTTCTATTGTGATTTTTTCCCCTGTGGGCCACCGTTATGAACTATATTTCTCTTATTTTAATCCTTCTAATCTTCTTCAATAACATCGTTCGACATCGAAGAATCATTCGGAGACAGAGATTAACAGTACCGCAAAGTAGGCAAGAGGAAATTTCCTTGCTATTTCTAAACTGTTGTTTATCATTTTTATGTATCTTGTTGTGCCACTTAAATCAATCGTGTTACTATTAGCCTGAAATCAAGGGTTCGTCGATGAGCTAACGTTCTGTATTCTGTTCGTTTCACATCATTACCTTTGAGCTACAAAAATAACATTGATTATTTATTTGGACAGAGTCATTGACAGAACCACAATGCAGGCAAGAAGGAGATTCAAAGCTCCCCAGATATTGATGGTCATCATGACGTCCATTTTAGCGACATGTACAATTTCCCTTTATTTCACGAGTAATGACCGTTTCAAAACCACGCTGATCAAGGGACTCACAGATATGGAGGAGAGAAGCAACTTCAACATTCACCCCTGGGAAGGTAAGTCAATCGGCGATTGCTATCCTCAGTTACAGTCCATACTTTCTTAGAAAGAGATTCCGGTGTACACGAATCTGTGATGTAAACTTTGGGTTTGGAAAGGCTCTCGCACAGGGGAATTTTTATTTGCATTTGTCGCTCATTAGCATAGGCTCTTTATAATCCTATCAAGCTACAAAAATGTAAATACTGAAACCTGAAAAAATAGAACATTTTAAGCTTTAACCATCAACAATTACCTATGCCGCACGATGTCAAAAATAGAAATATTACAAAGAATGTATGGTTTCATTAGCTCTTTTGCCACCCACAAAGTTGGCCGTTTTCCGATGGCGAATATTTCAATACGTTTTGCCCACAATAGGCGTCCACCTCACATATTTCAAAGACTAAGACGCTCTAGCAATTATTGAAAAAAAATTATCTCTTAATCTCACTTCTTTTCCATGAAAAAATAAACGCTGTTGAAGAAAAACGTAAACAATGACCGGAGTAAAGACTCCCCTACAATCCTCATGCTTTTCTACTACAGATGAATAAGGGGGGGGGAGTAGGTTCCTCAAAAAAATTGTGATAGCGCGTCGGTGAGGGGTATCACAAGATACTTTGCTTTTATCATCCAAATTGACAATGTAAATTGGTTACCGTAAAGAGTTTCTAAAGCCGACGTTTCGAACGAAGAAACTCTTCTAGGCGGCCAATTTGCATTATAAACCCAGTTGGGCTATAAAACTAAAATATTTTCGAGGATAAAGCCGTTTTCCCAAAGTAGATTCATTGTTTTCGCCATTGTTTTATTTTATCCAAGTACTGTTTGCATAATGAATGGTATGTTTGCATAATAATTGGTATGAGATTCTACAGGGATCTTGCTCCCTCAACAAATAACAATGGTAGAAAATAAGTCAGAATTGGCTTTTTTCATTTTACTGGACAACGCAGAACCTAAGAAACCAAAATGATGAGAAGGTTAGAAATGAAGTGAATTCGGGAAGATTCCTTTAGCACCATGCTATTCCCATACCACTTACTCGAATGAAGGGCTAACGCTCGAAACGTGAGCTTTACAAACTCTTTACGATGGCCATTATCAACCCAGTTGAATTAAAACCAAATCATTTATATTCTTAAACAAAGCCACAGTCCCAAAGGTAATCTATTGTTTCTGCCATTGTTTCTTTCTCCAAGAACTTTCTGCATAATGAAGCATGGGCTGTGCAGAAATCTTAAACTAACCTCTTTCGACCGCCTTTTTTTCCTGTGTCATCGGATTTCAGAATTAATTGTCGTGATCAATTGCAACATTACCTAAAGCTCGATACAGCTCATGCACTTTCACTGTAGAAATAACCACTTGCGTAATCGAAATTTTAAAACAATACCGTACAAAATCATCAATAAAGTCTTGGTCTTTAATTGTTTTCCAGTCGATTGGTTTTTACGGTTAGTTTTGTTTTAACACCTCATATTTTCGGACGAACGCACGCATATCAATTTTTCCTTTAAATAAGGTTTTAAAGGTTCTTCATTCTTCATTGATATGGTGTTGAGGAGGCTCTGTGACTCGCTAGCTCGCTATTGAAAAGACCAAAAGGAATCGTGACATTAAAAACAGAATTCTAGGGTTTTTAGTAGGAGTTTCGAAATTAGTAATAGATCGACGTGGTGCTTTGTTTCTTCTACAACTTTTAAGAGAAAAAAAAATTGCTTATAAATTTGATGCAATAGATAATGAAGAGGCTGTGTTGAGATAGTGATTGAAAAGACCGTTTATGTGAGTGTTGAAAGAGAGGAATGATTGGAACCAATATAATAACCAGCTCCCAGTTGGCTTGTTAGCTCATTTAGTAGAGTGCTGCACAGGTATCGCAGAGGTCATGGGTTCAAATCCCGTACAGGTCTGAATTTTTTTCACGCTTCATTTTCACTACTGCTTAAGTAGTGTTCATCACTGCAAAGATCGCTTTCATATTCATAATGATTGCTGTGTCGCGTCAAAGCATATTCTCAAGCTCGCGATTTGTAATGTGATGAGCAGCCCCTTAAAACGATGGGACAAAATGATCAGAATGCAGCTACTTTGCAATACAAGTGCTCGCATTTAAAATTAAAATTTTTGACAAATGTGTGTTCACCATAATATCGAGGGGCTTCAAGTTAACTGAGGTTTAAAAGTGTTCGGAAAAACAGTTAAACACAAAACAGAGCGAAATTATTCATTAGTTACCGAGGCAGAAACGCAAGTTGATCATAGCATTTAGAGCCTAAATTAACATGAATTTTTTTGGTTCATGCAGTGCCGTCATGAGAAGTTTGTTTTTCATGAATGTATAGAAATATGAAATTATGCCTATATCGATATTTTGGTCGATTTCCAGATAACCAGTTTAGTTTTCTTTGAAAGAGCGCTTTAAGAAACAGCGACCCGACAAGTTTGTCCTGGGAGAAATTTTGGCCACGCAAGATGGCCGAATTGTTGTCGAAAACTTATATCTAACATAATGAATTATTAACGAGTTTTAATTTGTAAAGCTCAAGGTAAGGCGAGGGAACGGAAAAGAAGGCCAGAGGCCTCCAGAATAGATTGTTGACCGAAAAAAAAAAAGACCAACGCGAAATATTGGTCGGCCACAGCACATGCGCGTAGTGCGACATTAAGAATTACCTACATCTGTTTTGACTAATAACTACGTTTTCTTTTCTAGTTTTTTCAACCTTGAAATCAATGCGAAAAGGGGTAAGTGTCGTAAAATTATTCCATATCACTATTTTGCCTGTCAAATATCCTTAGCGTTCACATTAAAAAATTTTAAAAATAATTTATTTCGATTCTTTAACCCTTAACACCCTCAACTCATTTCGTTTATTGTCCATGCTAATCTCCATACTTTTCCTATGGCGCTGAAGAACCAAGAGCTTAATCTTGTCAGTGATCATTTTCTTTATTCTCGCGACTTTAATGGGTGCCTGATGCTAGATGCTAATCACTCTTCAGAGTTTATTGGGTTAACCCTTTTAGACGCAAGCCTGAGAGCTCACTGTCCGAACTAATGATCGTGCATGTCTGAATCTGCTGGTACTGGCCATCTGATGTTATAATAAAAACAAAAAGCCCCATCTGATAATGCTTGAAAACAAATCATTCAAGAACATCTAGGTTACATCTCACATGATCTTTGATCCTTATAAAATAACAAGGATGTGGCCAGCGCCCTGACTGGTCCAAAACCTATGTTTTTCTTTTTGCATCAGGCAACCCAGAAAACATTAAAACAAACCGCCTTTTCTAAATTTCTTTTACAAAAGCAATAGACCACTCTCTCCATCAATATACCAGTGTAACAACCCTTGTAGGATCTCAGAGGAACAATCGGCTAGTCTCAGCTCAGGATTTACAACCTTTTTTCCTTTCCTCCCAGCCTCCTGTGTGGCTTATGACAGCAGTAAACCGATAAAGAGTGCAGTTCATTGCTTAAATAGTTCGCTAAAAAATTTGCTCGTTTACCCCCTTGTTGTTTCTTTAATAATCATCAGGTTTGTTCTCATCCTTTTTGTTTTTGGCTCTCCGGTACTATTAATCTTTTTTCTGTGTATTATCCTATTTCCACAGAAAATAATTGTCTACAATAGAGTGGGGAAATGTGGAAGCCGCACTATGATACATCTCATGGCCACACTGACAAAAAAACTGGGGTATAAAGTGATTGGTTCAACCCAGAACAGTAACGGAGAAGTCACTCTTCGCGAACAGGTAACCGCTATTAAGAGAACGATCATCATTTATCGCGGATGAGGGGAGGGGTGGGTCGGAGGACTTTTGCCATGTCACAATAAATTTATCTAATCCCCCCTGAGGTATTGTTGTGTTGTTATGATTCCTCAGTCAATGTTTTATAGTAACCCCCTTGTCTTGATATTCTGTTGGTAACGACTTATTCTCCCTCTGTTCCCACACAATGTGATCCCCCCAGATGTCCGTTTCCCTGCCTCCAAAAACAACATTGATATTGCAGTCTAGGGGAGGATTGATTACCGGGGGCCTGGCATTAAAAATAAGATGCCAGACCAATTCAAGATCTGTGGTTGGCTCGCGTTGCCCAAGGCTCCACACTTTCCCATGCATGCGTTTTGGCGATTAACACAGCTGACATGTCCTAATTTTCTTTTATTTTTTCTTTCCATTTATTTTCTTTCTTTCTTTCTCTCTTTCTCTATTTATCTATCTCTTAATTGTTTTTCTCTCCTTCTGTTACCTTTACAGGTTGAACTTGTGGACCTCATAGATCGGTTCCAGCCACCATTCATCTATCATCACCACATACGTTTCGTCGACTTTAAGAGGTAACAACTCCTTTGCTACAAATTCACCGGCATGGTTAACCTTTCAACCCTAACCTGGCGGTCTGCATATTCTCCACACTGTTCTCCATGCATTTTTTAAGGAGTGCTAACAAAGAGAATTTGTTTAACAATCAAAAGTTTCACAAGTTGTCGGTCATTTCCTCAATTTTCATTGCTTTTGTGTTTGATCCAGTAGTTATACTGTTAGAGGAAATCAAATATCAGTTACTCTTAGAAGATAAAGGATTAAAAGAGAGCCAAACACAGGACGAAATTGCAAGAATCCGTAAACGGAAACGTGGCAGAAACATGTTAAACCGTTCCGGAAATACGACGGATAACCTGTGTTTCCGTTACCGGTTTCGTGACGTTTTCTCGCGTTTCCGTTGCTGCGTAACAACGGAACCGGACCACTTTTACGTAAACATAACGGAAACATGGAGTTGCATGTTTCCGCCACGTTTCAGAAATACTGAAACATGTGATTTCGTCCTGTGAAAGCTTTCAGATGAAATAAAATCCAACTAAGACTTTAGCTTTACGTTTATAGTTTTAATTCGTCTCTACAATAACAGTTGAAACACAAGTACTTTAAAGCTGAGAAACATACGGAAGCTCGGAAGTGATCGGCTACAGCTATTCACCCTCCGAGCAGCCGAAGAGATAATATCGCGACTTTAGGATAAACGGTGGAGTTCACCAACAACTAGCAAACGAGTTTATCGGTTGAAACTTAATAGTGGAATAGCCGAAAAAATCACTGCTTTACTACGAGGAGTGATTAATATTTATCTTTTATGTTTGCGATATAATTTTTGACTGGGAAAAACGTAACAGCAATAGATTGAGACGTTGATAACTCGCTTAATTCTATATAACCTAATATGCCGGGAAGTATGTAAAAGTAAAAGGGGAGAATTAAGTATTAGATAAGTGGGATCTAGCGTTAACCCTTTGATCCCTAAGAATAACTAACATCTAGTTTCTCCTTACTATATCACCACTGAATCACACATTAATGTCATGAGAATAAAAGAAATGATCACCAAGTAAAGAAACTTTTGATTATTACACAAATTCTCCTTGTCAGCACCGTATTACATGTACAGAGAACAGTATGGAGAATATAAATACTGATATCGATGTTAGGGTGTAAAGGGTTAAGAGAGCCCGCAAAAAGGCCCTCAATATTAAGGCATCGACACAAGCCTTTCTCCGTCCGCGGGAAAGTTTGAGGCCTTGACAAACGCTAACCTGTGAGAGGTCTGCATGGGGTCTCATTATTAGTGCCAGACTTCAGGCAAATAACTCCCCGACACAACTCCTGCAGCACTGAAAATAAGGGCCTGCTCGCAAACTAGCCTTGAATAAAATGCAGTTATCTTTTCTTTACTCCAGATTTGGCGCCGTTCAACCCATTTACATCAACTTGATACGGGATCCCCTGGCTCGTATGGTCTCTTCGTACTACTACACAAGATTCGGGGATCATAGAGAAGGTGAAAGAAATTGGAGCTTCAAAGGCACGGAGGAACAGAAAAATATGGTTTGTGTAGTGAAAGCTACCTTCTTTATCGCTTTCGCTCTTTGATATGTCACGCAGTGCTATCAGGTTCATTATGATCTTACGAAAACGTTGCGTGACATCTCAAAGAAGAAAGTGAAGGAGACCAAACTTCCCCTAACTCTCCCCACTCTGAGCGATTGGCAGGTACGATGGATCAGCTTCTCGTCTACTGAGGGGGTAGTTGTAATACTCCTTATCATTTTCAAAACTCCACCGAAACTGGGGTAAACTCCGGCAGGGTGGGTCTCTAGGCACACAAGCCGACTTTTAGTTTTTCTTCTTCTACACCCACCCCTCCCTCAGAACTCTCTTCTCGCTCCTCAGCAGAAAAGTGTCGACATAAACTCAAACTGGTCAACTGAAAACTTCCTAAAACTTCACTTCTCTTAAAAGTAACTTTTAATTTTTCCTGCCTACTCGTCTCCTTAGACCTTTGATGACTGCGTCAAAAAGGAAATGGATGACTGCGTCAAACCGCAAAGAGTGTTTTACATCATTCCTTACTTTTGTGGCAATGAATTCTACTGCAGGTGAGAACCGTTATCATAACGATAATAATAATAATAATGACGATGATGATAATGATAATGATAATTAGAGTATTTCTATAGCGTTATTTACACAGAAATGATCAGTAGCGCTTTACCATGATTCACCTATAGAACTATTCTACAATCATCTAAGTATACCATGTAAAATGTTAATGAGACAATAAAATAAAACAAATCAGAATAAACAATAGTCATAAGGACAATAAAATTTCTGGTCTAAATTGGTATAAAAAAACCTGACCGAAAAGGTAGGTTTGAAGATTGGGTTTAAAAATTGTCACTGATGGGATAGCACGCAATTCAGCGAGCAAACTACTCCAGAGTTGAAAGCATTTTTTTTTCCTTAAGCGGCTCCAGTAACAAGGTGCCGTTATTCAATCACTAATATATAGTGGCACCAACCATGAATTTCCTTAAAAGCTAAGACTGATATGTTAAAACGAATACGAGCGCGTACTGGGAACCAGTGAAGATCATGACGCGCTGGTGTAAAATGGAAATGCCTACCAATGGTCATAGAAAGTCTCGCCGCTGCGTTTTGAATACGTTGTAATTTTAAGATCTTTAATTTAAGTAACCATACAAACACCACAGTCTAAGCGACAAAATAATAAATGCATGAATAAGTGTCACCAAAGAATTACGAGATAAATACTTCTTAATTCACCTAATGTTATGTAAATGATAAAAGGCTGCATTACAAAGTTTAGTAACATGTGTTGATATGTTTAACTGACTATCAAACCACACGCCGAGATTTCTAGCACACAGACCTGGATCAATGTCGCGTTCACCAACATTAATACTACACGAAGTATCAATCTCAGTTAGTTGCTTTCTCGTTCCTATGAATAAAAACTCTGTTTTATCGTCAATAATCATTAACCTCTGCTTTATCATCCAATTTCGTAATTGTCAATGAATCTAGCCATGGCGCTATTAGCTTCATTCTTACAGGCATCATCAGCAGGTTTTTATCGGAATTCTCGTTACGCAGTTCTTAAATTTTTATTTACTTATTCATTTATTTTTATTTATTTTATTTATTTATTTTTTTTATATGTATGTATAGATTTTTTCGTATTTTGACTGTAAGGCTTGTATAGTACTCTTTATGTGTATCCTTTCATTTTGTCCCCAATCAGTTCATATAGCTTAAGTGTAGTAACTGTTGAATTAGTTTATAATTATTATTACTTCCCCAACTGGTTTTTTTCAGTTTAAATTGAAACGTTGTGAATAAACGTAGTATTAAAAAATCCTAAGAGACAAGCCAGTTGGTTGTCTACAGAGCGTAGCTAAGGAGATAACTCGGGACAACCAAAAACAAATCCAGTAAGTAGCGGGGTGCAACATGGAGGGTTTGAACCTGGGACCACCAGATTACAAGCCCACGCCCTAACCACTCGGTCACACTCACCTTTCCTCAAATCCTTCCTGTTTTCAATTTTATCTCCTTCCTTTTCATCCCTGTCCAGGAAACCAACAAGTCAAGCGCTTGAACAGGCCAAGAAAAACGTCATGGAAAATTATCTGGTAGTTGGTGTTACGGAGCAGTTGGAAGATTTTCTATTTGTCCTTGAAAAACTTTTACCAGAATTTTTCACGGGCGTACTAGACACCTATAAGACTCCAGGTTAGTGCATATCAAAACAAAATAAAGAAAGACAAGGAGATGCATGATACTAATTGTTCTATTACTTTCTCAAGCGAAAGAGAAAAACAGCGGAGTATCAGTCTTCAGCGTGATCTCTCATAAATTGTCTTCTTTTAATATTTTGTGTCAATTCTTGTTCAATTTATCTATTTTCAAGACACCTCGCGTCATCCTTATTCACAACTAAAACCATTCGTAACTTGTTCACCCGCGTCTTCCCGTGGCTTAAGCAGATTGCTTGTTTTAACGTTGAGTTCTCATTGCACTTGTGATATTTCCGTTTCTACTGGTTTCCTTTTTATAGTTTCCTATATTAATTTTTATCTTTTTTCAGACGATAATCTCAATTCCAGGATGACATCTACCAGAACCGCGAACAAGAGGGGACCTTCTCCGGAGGTGCAAGAGATAATGAAGAAACGTATGGAATTAGAATATGAATTTTATGACTTTGTAAAGGAAAGATTTAATAGGCTGAAAGCCGAACTGATGTCTGGAAAAAATTGCTGAGTGCTGGGCGACCAAATTTGTCTGAATAGTGAACCCTCGCTTTGCAAGGGAGCATACGAATGGAAGTTTGAGAGAAAACTTCAGTGAAGACATTTTGACATTTATAGTGAGTTTCAGTCAGTCATAACTGAATTGTTAGTTAGAGGTGGACCTCTGTTAACTGTTATCGTAAATTGTAGTGTCTTCAAGGCGCTCTTTTGTGATTATAACTTAACGACAAGGGTGCTTAGTTCTCCATTAATTTTCCATCAAGATACAATTGACCTAGCTTTGAAGATAGAATTTGAAAATCTTTCCAATAACTTTTTTTCCTTTAATGTTGTGGTCATTTGTCAAGCCACGGCCGCCATTGGTACAGTTTCATCGTTTTTTTTAACTTTTATATGCTATAATCATCTTCATTGATATCAAGATTACAATCATCTTATTTATCGTTTACTAGCTTTTATCATTCATTGTGAACCTTGATTGTATCTGACTATTATACATGTGCGCCTTTTACCGTAGATTGAAAAAAAGGCATTGTGGCATATTTACGTCTAATCATGTACATGACAAAAAAAAACAATACGCGCGTCTGATTGGGTGAAAACGAGTGTATTTTTTTATGCAACACGAATGCAAAGTTAAGACACTCGTGTCTATTTAAACCAAATTGCATTCGGAATCATTTTATAACCTATATTTATTTGTATTCGTCATGTCATTGCTTTTATCTTACATAGCGAACTAGGTTTGTCTATTATACACTGTAAAATATGTACTTTTTACCGTAAGTTTGTAACGCGCATGTTGGCATATTCGTATTGATTGAATATTCAAGGTATGCCTATGTAGGTAGGCTTTGGTTGTGATAAATGTATGAGGTCAATTGCATTTATAACATAGCTAGTAAATTCGTCTAATCAAATTCAATTACGCGAGCGTGCTTCATATTCCTATTGTGCACACTCATGACGTCAGCAAACAAATCCCTCGAGAAAAACAAATTTCATCTTTCATGCTCTCCAAACTTCCCGCGTGCTTCATATCTCGATGAACGCACGCTGATGCATGAACCAATTGTTAATTTGTTTTGACCATCCTGAGTTTCGAAGTTACCTCGTGCTCGAAGGGGAGGGGGGAGAGGGGGTACAAAGGCACACTATGAGGTGAACTCAACATGGCATGCCGCCAACCAGGGTATGGCTCTCGGAATCTTGGATCTCAACTAAGGTGCACAATTTGACTCATTGGTGCCTTGAATACAGCGTCTCTCTGGACATGCGGCCATAAATATATTTCTAATTCTAACAGTCATGGATATGCCAGATGAAGCTCCCAGAAATAGATATGCCACTTTAAATTTTCTTTTATTTTTTATAGTCGTGTTTGAAAAGTTAGCCTGATATCCTTCCCCCGGCCCATACATTTTCTTTCCATCATAGAGAAGTCAGACAGCTTCCCTGGTAGCAAAAGTTTTTACCCCTCACATCTCGAAACCTCCGAATATCAAACACCATATGCAGTACGAGATAAGTACTGCAAGCCATAGCAATATTTAAGGGTTTCAAAGCTGCCTGTAAAAATGACTTACCTTAAAGTCTTTACCGAGAGCTTCACTCTTTGTCGTCTTGTGCTTTCTCGCTCTGAATCACTTTTGAAAGACATTACTTGAGCTAGGGGGCACAGCGTATACCTTCAAACTGTGACTCCTTCTTCAGACAAAATCTACCCATTTTGCTCTCCCGTTCATGAAAATCGTTTACCTGTGATTGTAGCGTACTGGATCAATATCAATTATTTATTTCACCACGTTATCGTTTAAGAGCACAAGTGCTCGTTCAAAATACGATCTAGCATTAAAAAAAAAAGAAAAAGAAATGTAAATCCATAATCTATAATCTATGTAAACACAAATCTAAATTTTATAAAAATTACACACACAAAAATTAAAAATATAAAGATTACAGCTGAATCAATCTTAGCTTAGACTTAAAAACATCAACATCATCGGCCAGCTTGACATCCTCTGGAAGTTTATTCCATAGTTGAGCACACTTGTAAGTAAAGGAGTTCCTCATAAAATTAAGATTAGATTTGGGAACGCAAAGATTCACACCATTTCCTCTTAAATTGTGAGACGTTTCTCTTATGCGTAAAAAGTCTCCATTGTATTTCGGCCCTATATTCCTAATGCATTTAAACAATAGAATCCGAGATTGCTTCTTTTTCCTGCACTCTGAGTAATCCAACTTACATATATTTAAGAGGTCTTGGTAATGTAATGATTGACGTCTTCAATTTTATCGACCTGAACTTTCCCCACCCCTAACAGGAGGGGACAACAGTATTCTAGATGTGGTAAAATAAAGACTTGTATAACGCTAGCATAACGTCCATAAGTACAAAACGCTTAATTCTCCTAAGAGCGCCGGTCTTCGCATACGCCTTTTTTAGCTGACTAGAAATATGCTCTTTAAAGTTTAAAACATGCTATATCAAGTTCCACACCCAAGATTCTAATACAGGGAAGTGTAGTGACGCCAGAATCTTTCAAAGTGAAGTCAAAATCGTACTTGCAAGGACCGATCGGAATGGCTTGCGTCTTAGCATTGTTTATTAACAAATAGTTGCATCGAACCATTCCGACAGGCGGCTGAGACCCTGGTTCACTGCAAATTGCAGGGCAATGGGCGAGGCATCTGATGCATACAGAGTCGTGTCATCAGCATAAAACTGAGCACACACCGTGCAAACAATCCCTCTGTTTACGACCCAGTAGATGAGATGACATCAAACTCAAGGCAGATTCACAGAAACCATAGGCTTTTAACTTTTCCAACAGAAAATTGTGATTAATAGAGTCAAAAGCCTTTGATAAATCAACGGCCACGGCCATGGCTGACCCTCTGTTGTCAGGGCTCCTTCTCCAATCCTTGGTCACTTTCAGAAGAGCGGTGCAACACGAATGGTTCTTTAGAAATCCAGAGAGGTTTTGTGACAAGTGGCGACAGAAAGTGTTATAAAGCTGATCGTACATAACTTTCTCATAGACCTTTGACAAAGCCGAAAGGCCGACAAAGGGCGATAGTTCTCTTTTCGCGTGTCCTCATCCTTTTTGAACACGGGTGTCAAATTGCTGCACTTCCATTCGTTTGGCCAAGAAGAGGAAAGTTTTAAAACGTTTATCAAATGTGTAATCTCCTCGGCCATGACTGGTGCCGAGAGCCTCAAAAGACACGGTGAAATGCCATAGGCGCCAACCGCCTTTCGTGGATTTAAATTTTCCAGAATCTCTTTCACATAAGCGGAGCTTACTGGTTCAAAGGTAAATGGGTGTTCGAACACCTGTATTGACGTAATCCCTCGAACACTCGGGTGTTCACTAAAATTTTCCACGCTGCCGCGGTGGGTTTCAAGTGCAATAACCCACGCGAAGTAGTTGTTGGACACTACCACTTCACTGGGCTCCGTCAGGACTTTACCACCCTCTACTAATGTCACGCTGTTCTGTTTAAACAGGGACGAGTTAGGGAGTAATGGCTTCATTGTTTTCCAGAACTCCCCAGGGTGTTTCGCATTAGATGTTGCATTACTACAAAATTCCTTGATGCCCTTTCTCTTTAGCGAAGTGATTTCGATACCCTGTTGCTTATAGGCAACCAAGAGATTGTTAGTTCGGTTCTTCCTGTAGCGTTTAAACAGCCGATTGCGCCGGACAATTTCGTGTTGAATTTCAGTTGAGATCCAAGGTACTTGATCCCTGCGCACCCATGTTTAGCTTCTGGTACTCGTGCATTTGCATTTGCAAGCTCGAGCTCTTCTCGTCAGTGCAATTTAAAATGTTATCCATGCATCATCTAAAACACACATTTTAATTTTTTTTTTTTCATTACAACTTTACAAAAAGGAACACACTTTAATATTCATAATTTCCTAACTTGTGAGAAAACTGTCAACACCGAATCACCTAACATATGATGAAATGGCATTAGAAACATAAAAAACCCTTTTCATTACTCAAAACGAGAGTAAAGAGAGTTTCACTTCCTTTTGTCAAATAATAAAACCACGGATGTTTTTATGTTTGAGTTGTAAATTAACTCCTAGCCCTAATTCGCACTTAAGTCAAATTACACCGACCAAGATTAACAGCTGACCGTGGTCTACGATGTTGTTCTCTAATAAGTAGGCCGTCATTAGCATGAATCATTCCCGAAAAAAAGTTGCAAAGAAAATGCTCTGGCAGAGAGTCTAGAGATTTAATAATTCGCCGTTTAGTAACTCACCCTTAGCCATTTAAATTACGCGTCAGTCTTAATGGCTTTGAGTGGGTTTCAATAAAATGTATTGGATATATTGGAACTATTCTGCAACCTTTTAAGTTATAAATTTAGAGCAAATGTCTTAAAAATTGCTTACTGCTGAACAGGTGTTTCCTCTCTTGGGTGATAATAAATGCAACGGAAGCCAACGAAAACAAAATTGACTGTGACACAACAGCCGGTTCTTTTGCTCATTTTTAACTCGTGAATTGCGCGCATGCGCAAGAGCGAGTTATAGATACCATGTGGGGAATGGCTTTCGCTCGCTCGCTCGCTCGCTCGCTCGATTGGTCGATTCCTGTAAACTTTTTTTAGATTTTAGGCTTTTGAGCGCATTTGATAGTTTTTAGCGAACAGTAAACAGAAGAAATGGCGACCTTTGTTGCTAAGAATATTGGTGGGGTGAAAAAGAAGCCAATGATAATCTTAAAAGAGTTTTTTTTTTCGTTTTAGTTTCAACAAGCGGCGCCAGTGACTGGCAGGCATGCAAGGATTCACACTGAAATAACAGAACAACCTTCGTTTTTCATAAAATTGTAATTTACAATCCTTGAACTCGAAAACAATCCGAAGCCGTGAGATTCATTGAAAATATTACTTACTACGAAGCGCTCGAAGTTTACAGATGTTCAAAAGCTTTTTCTGTTATGGCGTGAGATTGAGGACAAAATTGATCATTACGTTTCGTCGCGTGTGTTTTTCCTGTGTGAAGCAACAAAAGATGCCGGCGACTGACTAAATTACAAGTTAACACGAAAATCAGATAACACCTAAACAAACAATTTTAGTTACCGATTTTCAGTGAATTTTTAAAGAACAATTTTCTTTTAAGTTTCAAGACAATTTGAAGATTCAACATACATACAACGTACTAAAATGCGAAAGTTACACACCACAAAATTGATAAATAGGCCTGAAATGAAATTCTATCTTGTTATTGATTATACGTTGCCTAGCACGTGACTTAAATCTACCCAGGCGGAGATCCAAAATGACGGTGGCAGGCTTGGCTTAGTTATATCACTCAAAACTCGTTCCAGTTTGATTGATTTGATAAAGAGGGAATCGTTAATGTTTTCATTAAGACAGTATAGCCTTGATTTTCTAATATTTACAATGAAAGACAGTAAATTTCACTTTTCACCCACATTTACTTCCAACCTTTTCTTTTGAACCAGAAACAAAAATGATAGACGTTTAAAACACATGACATCATCCACCTTGTCAAATGTAATAGCATGACCATTTCAATTGTAATGCCTTCTTATCCCAACGTTACTTTGTTTCTTTGCTACATTAGCGAATACTGAACTACTGCTCGTACTCTAGATATGACAATCAACCACAAAATTCCCTAAACCAAATAACATTAAACATCATGTGTCAAAATCATGTGTCAATTCACGAGTTTGCTCACAGAGCACTTTGATTAGTTCGTGCTATCGAAAAGGTGGTTAGTCTGAAATACAGAGGGGAAGTTTGTTTTGCTTATTAACGGCCGGGCGAGTGCTGTTACGATAAGACTTTTCTCGTTGCTGTAGTGGATGATCTGTTGGGAAAAGGAAAGGACTGCTTCAGATTAGCGGCGTGAAGATGACGGCAACTCAAATAACAGAGGGTGGAACACAAACCAAAACCATTCCAGAACTAGCATGTTCCCGGGCAAGTGATATACAACCGTATGCATATTATTTCTCGACAATCCATATTCTGCTTTCCCTAACAGCAACTCTTGGCAATTCTCTTATCCTTGTTGCCCTTTCCAAGGAATCCTCCCTTCATCCGCCGTCCAAAGCCCTTTATCGTTGCCTTGCAACAACAGATCTGTTAGTCGGCCTCGTCGTTCATCCTTTGGCTGTCATCCATTTTATGTCCTATATCCACGAAGACTGGGGTCGTTGTCGATGGACACACAGCGCAGTTTCATATCAGGCTATGCGTTATGTTCAGTATCTTTGTTGACGATGACAAATTGTAACTGTAAAGCGCATTCATGTCATATCAGTTACCTTTTGGATTGCATCCGGCATCTTTAGTTTATGCCAAAGCTTAAATGACCACATAACATTTTGGTCCAGCTTCGTAGTTGCAGTGTCTTGCTTGATGATCTCATTCGCATCTTACACAAAGATTTTTAGAGCTCTTCGTCTTCATCACACTCAAATACAAGATCATGATCAGCAACATCCGAGCCAACCAAATGCACTGAACATCGCACGTTACAGAAAAGCAGTGTACAATGCGCTGTGGGTGCAGTTAGCTTTATTCGTCTGTTATCTACCTTATTGCATACTGGTAATTTTGATCACTTTTAGTAAAATACCCCTAATACATTCATCAGTCAGTGTGGCCGCACTAACGGTGGCTTTTGTATCCTTTAACTCAACTTTGAACCCGTTCATTTACTACTGGAAGATTAGCGAAGTAAGACAAGCAGTAAAGAAGACAATCAGACAAGCACTATGTTGTTCGTAGGGTTAATTTCTGTTCGGGTTAGACTTAATTGATCCTTATAAAGCTAGGGACTGAAATTACTGTAAGCAGAGAGTAAACCAATATATCATCGGATAAGGAGAAAAAAGACTTCAAACGCTTTTGTACTGATACCACTGTATGGTGAGTGAAGACAACATAACTGATCTCCTCACAAGTGATGAAAACCTGATAGATAGCCCCATATCATTAGAATCGTTGTAACGATTGGAGTTTTCCTTATCATGAGCTCAAAATATGAAATCTCCGATGTCTTAAATTTGCCATGTGAATGAACCGGTTCTTTAAACTAATTCGCACTTAAGAGCTGATGTTAACAAGTATCAGACAAACAGCGGCAAGTCACCCAAAATTTGCTTTCACCCCTACTTCATATTTTGTAACTCAATATGTCCTAATAATTGTGGTGTAGTTTTTTTGTGAAAATATAGTTTAGTTTTCGAGAAATAATTTTTTTCGTTCGACCGCTTAAATATGAAAATTTTTACCGTGAATATTACCCGAGTTGTGTATCCTCATGTAACGAATATACTTGACCTCCGGTATTTCTGTCAACATAATCCTTCGTTTTATTATCTAAACGTAATCCCCTGTCATTATTGAAGCTGGTAAAATAATATTTATTTTTTGGTGAATATTTTTGTCCGACATACAAGTTTTCCTATGTCGAATAGTAGCATCAAAACAAAGATAGTTTTACGCGGACCGATATGACAGAATCTAATGAGCTTCGAGCTTTTAAAAGACAAAAAGATGGTTAAAAAGTTACTGTAAAAGTGTATTTGTGTTGTTCTATCTTGAGACGAACTCAAAGTCCGGCAAAATTTACTCGCTAGCGACTATGAAATATACATGATGTGCCTACTTGTCGCCACCGTTTACTGGCATAAATCACTACAATTTGTAAACAAAATCTAATATAACAATCTTACCTTATTTATAATAATTTTATGAGCTGTTTCGATTACTATATAACGCCTGGGTATTACTTTTGATAGGAGCCCAGGTTTTGCGTTTTGTTTTCCTCTTCCCTATTTCCACCATAAGCTAGTCACGCAATAATTTATACACAAATGAATATTTACCCTGTACAGAGATTTTTGTTTATGTTTAATTAAAAGTACTATGTTGAGGAGAATCACAATCACGGTCCCCATGTACGCTAGCAGTAACAGTGTTAAAAATAAACAAAACTTGGAAAAGTTTTGTTTATTTTTTATTTTTTTGTTTTTATTTTATTTCATTACGTTCAAAGCCAAACATTTACCACTGCGCAGCGCAACAGCTACGCGACAAGACGTAAATACGCGCTCGACTATTTCGCTTAGCACAGAATTTAACTCTGTCACGACTTCTGTAGAGAGGTACCAATCATAACCTTACTTGAAGCTTGAGTAGTCCTCTACAATTGGTCTTTGTTCGAACAACGCCCGGAATCCGGTCTACAAAACATCTCCCAAGCCACTAAATGTGAGAAGATGCAAAGATAACTACTCTTACAACTTGCATCGTCGGTAAAAATCATTGTAACCGTAAGCATCTAAGTACCAACCATAAACACTATTCCGCTCAGTTGGTGGAAAAATCCATACCAAATCATCGCTGAACAAATTGTACATGTAATCATTTCATTACTGTTTTTTTAACTAGATCATAAAAAATAAGGTAATCGTTTTGAGCCCTCCTTAAGCATCAATTAGTTACATAATAATTCTGAAGAGAATCAGTGGGAAGGAGATATGCAACGATCTGAAAAATTCAGACGTACCTAAATTGATGGTATTGATTAGAACCGTGACGTAATGATAAAAACAAGGCGCAACAAAAGGGAAGAAAGATCACAATAAAAACTGCAATGAACCCCGATAAGTCCTCCTGAATAATAATAATTTTTTGGAAAAGATGAAAGGCTTTGTTGGATAAGAAACAATGTTACATGCACTCGTGCCACTTATATGGTGTATGGACTTGGGTAAAAATCTATTTTTTTTTTTTGCTGATTTCCGATCTATACAAAGAACCTCCAAAATCATAAACACAGATCAATAAAATAACTTGTTTAGGTAGATTCATTCGAGTTCTGCAAGCCAAAGTTAAGCGAATTGCAAATAACAAGGGCAAGATTTCCTTGTAACCCCATACCTAATTAAGTATACAGTTATTGGATAAAAGAAGCTTGGCGAAGAAAATAGATTGAGAACTAAGGTTTTGTTTCAGAGTAGCACAGTGTTATACGGGAATGTTATCATCACTAGTTTTCCTTCCACACTGCTCTAGAAAAAGGACTGACGAAAAAAAGCGAATTTAAAAATGTCCCATAAAGTACAAATCTTGAGCTTGGTTGTGAGGTAAATTACCTTGTCACGCAAGAAAACTTAAATATCTTGAGGAAGTTTAACAAGACAGCCAAAGATGCAAATATCCACTGTGCTTTACTACCAATGTATTGGAAAGGTATTATATACAGGATCAAAAGTAGGCCTAACCAGTCAAACGTGCTCATCCACTTGGTGAAATATGATTGTCTCTCACTGCAAGAACAAAGGTCTTTAACGACTTGGCTTAATCACCCAATGGCTCGTCGTGTTTCACACTTCTCGATAAAGATATTGAAATAATAAGTATGTGTACTTAATAAAGATTCAGACAAATGGATAAAGGGGGTAAGTTTCTAAAGAAACTGTGGCGCTGCGTCGGTGGGAGATTATAGCAGGTAATTTAGTAGTAACAACTGAGTTGAAAACATAAATTAGCCACCGTAAAGGGTAAAAATGCTGACATTTCGAGCGTTAGCCCTTCGTCAGAGCGATTGGAGGAATTGCGGGTTGTGTGTGGGTTTATATGCGGAAAGTGGAGCTACACTATTGTTGGGAATATGGTGACGAGAAAACAGGAATAAATTAGTTGAATGAAAAGCGCTCGTTGATTCCGTATAGATTAAGGGTGCTGATTTGGAAGATAAATTTTTGTTCTAGTGTTTTGCGGCTTTCCGAACTGCGCATGCCTAGATGCAAATAGTCAAATATAGCGGAAAGCAGTAGTTGTAGAGATGTAGGGTTGTAATTAGCACCTCTTTCTTTAGAAGAGTAGCACACGTTGACAAGAAACTCTTTCGTTGCTATTTCAAGTGAACTGGGCCCGAAGGGACAAAGGAACATAAATATCAGAGACAAAAATGCGGGGCTAAAACATGGGGCTGGCCTAAGTTTTTAAAACTTGGACCGTTACGGTATGTTTCATGAGGCCATAGTATAGACAAAACTGTCTATGGCCCGGACTGTAAAAAGCGTAGAATATTGTGTTTATTAAAATATTCTTACCATGTAACATATAAGTAAGTAAGTAACAAATTCAAAATGTTTCAAGACATATAAATGAAAAAAATTGATGTATAGGAGAAAAACCGTAACAACCCCGGCAAAAAATAAAATCAGTAAGCCACAGTCTATGCAGTGGATCCATATTTGGCGAATACGTACACAGCTGTTTCCATAAAGGTTGTCGGAAAAAAAAGTGCACGTGACAACCCCAATAGGTATCGTGGGAAGTTTTCAGATCACGGTTCTTTGCCCTCAGGATTTCAGGGAAAACTGAGAAAACGTCACTGTAAGGAAGAGGCATCATAATCTTGACGAGTTTATCTATTTATTTAATTTCTTAAAATTCACTGATTACCAGATACCCAGATTATCTTTCAAGATTGTCACGTGCACTTTTGTCCTTTTTTTCGCCAACCTTTCTCAAAACAGTTGTGTACATGTACAGCTGACGAATTTTGTTAGCTTGAACGAGTTGACTCGTATCTTGACAATCTTATTTAGTTTTATAGTTTGATACACCGTCATACTTTTGCAGCTTTGTTGATCAGACATTGCATCTGGGTGATAAGACGGTCGTCATCTGAGAGATAAGATGGTCGGGCGATGGGACACCAAAACTATTTATAAGGGTTTTAACATTGGAAGCCCCTCTACTCACATTGTCATTTGATTGATTTCTTCAAAGGTATAAAACACGACCATAAGGAGGGTGACAACCTCACAAAATCCATGTAATAAATCTGCTGCACCCTGCACTAAGTGGGGTCCAGTTTGGTAGAACCATACAGTAAGGAGTATGACAATAACAGCACGAAGATAACATAGAATGCAGCTTAAACGCTGCCGAAAAACGAAACACGCTTAAACGCATGACTATATGCGTTAAATCAATTCATGTTTAAGTCAAATTTCTTAGAAATTAAACAAAGTCAAATCCTGAGGTTTTTTCTTTCTTTTTTTTTACCAAATGAAACGACATCAACAGCTAAAATTCTGTCGAAAAATAAGAGTGAAATTTTGTTAGAAAAGGGAGGCACCGAGCGAAAGAAATTGGAGCTTCAGATGCACGGAGGAACAGAAAAATATGGTTTATGTAGTACAAGCTATCGTCTTTATTGAAGTCACTCTTTGTTACTGTCACGCAGTGCTAGTAATTTTAGTTTCGTTTAGAGAAAGCGTTGCGTGACATTACAAAGAACGAACGTTCCCCAATTGCGCTCTTCAAATTGAGACATTCTGAATAAACGTAGTATTCAAAATCCCAACTGTCACGAGGCAGCCCATGGGGCTGTGTACAGAGCGTAGCCGAGGAGATGACTCAGGACAACCAAGAATAAATCCAGTAAGTAGCCGGTGCAACATGAAGGGCTTGAACCTAGGACAACCAGATTACAAGCCCACGCCTTAACCACTCAGTCACACTCACCTTTTGCCAAATCCTTACTGTTTTCAATGTAATCTCCTTCCTTTTTATCTCTGTCCAGGAAACCATCAAGAAGAGCGCTTAAACAGGCCAAGACAAATGTCATAAAAAATTATTTGGTAGTTGGTGTTACGGAGCAGTTGGAAGATTTACAATCTGTTCTTGGAAAACTTTTACCTGAATTTTTCAGGTAAGAAAAGACTCCAGGTCAGTGCATATCAAAAAAGATAGAGAAAGAGATGCATGATGCCAAGTTTTTCTATGAATGTCTCAAGCGACAGAGAATAACATCAGGATATCAGTCTTCAGCGTGATCTCTCATAAACTGTATTCTTTTAACTTTTTGTGTCAATTCTTGATCAATTCTCTATTTTCACGACAACTCGCGCCATCCTTCTTCACCAGCGTCTTCCCGAGCCTTAAGGAGATTGCTTGTTTTAACTTTGAGTTCTCGTTGTACTTGTGATGTTTTCATTTCTACTACTTTCCTTTTTTAGTTTCCTAAATTAATTGTTTTATTTTCAGACGATGATCTCAATTACAAGATGACATTTACCAGAACCGTGAATAAGAGAGGACCTTCTCCGGGGGTGCAACAGATAATGAAGAAACATATGCAATTATATTAGAATACGAATTTTATGACTTTGTAAAGGAAAGATTTAATAGCCTGGAAGCCGAACTGATGTCTGAATAATGAACCCTCGCTTTACAAGGGAGTATACGAGTAGAGGTTGGAGAGAAAATTTCAGTGAAGAAATTTTGGCATTTATAGTACACCAAACTGCACTGGAAATCATTTTATTACCTATATCTATTTGTGTTCGTCATTTCATCGCTTTTATCTTACATAGCGAACCTTGATTGTATCTGGTGTACATTGTAAAATATGTACTTTTTACCGTAAATTTGTAATGCGCATGTTGGCATATTCATATTCGCAATGTAAGCTGATTAAATATTCAAGGTATGCCTATGCAAGTAGGCTTTGGTGGTGATAAGTGTATGGGGTCAAATGCATTTTGTTTTGACCATCCTGAGTTTCAAAGTTTGCTCATGCACAGAGGGGGTTGGGAAGGGGAGGGGGTACAAATGCACACTCTCAGGTGACCTCAACATATAAGTACCGTCAACCAGGGTATGGTTCTCGGGATCTTGGATCTTAACTAAGGTACACAATTTGTCTAATTCATGCTTTAATACAGCATCTCTCTGGACTTATGCGGCCAAGAATAGATTTCATACAAGCTACAAAGCAAGATGAGACGCATATCCACAGTCCCTTTTTCAGAGTAAAGATCAAAATAATTGAGGCTCAAAAAAAGATCGAGGAATGCTTTTGTTTTGCTTTACTTCTTTACGTAATTTTTCTGTAAAACCTTCGCCGATCTCTCAACCGGTCAAAATCAAAATTAAAACAAATCGCGATTTGGTCCATTGTAGTTTCCCGCGCCTGACACATTTCGCTAGTTTTTTCTACGGATTCTCATTGGCTCCTTGTGATATTTTCCTTTCCTCTGATTGGCTCTTCTGATCAATTTGAATTTGGAGCTCGCGAAGTGCATTAGCAAGCTCGACGTCTTCTTTTCAGTGAAATAAAAAACGTTATTCATGTATCATCTAAAATACAGAGTTCATTTTTTTTTCATTAGTCTTCTCCAACAACTTTACAAAGAGGAACATATTGTAAAATCCAAAATTCCTAACTTGTGAGAAAACTGTTTGCAGCGAATCACCTGACATAAGATGAAAGGGCATTAAAAACAAAATAACCTTTTCATTACTCAAAATGAGAGTAAACAGAGTTTCGCATCCTTTTGTCAAAGAGTAAAACCACTGATGTCTTTATATTTGAGTTGTAAATTAAATCCTAACCCTAATTCGCACTTAAGTCAAATTACACCGACTAAGATTTACAGCTGTCCGTGGTCTAAGTTGTTGTTTCTAGTAAGTAGGCCGTCATTACCATAAATCATTTCCAAAAAAAAATTGAAAGAAAATGCTCTGTGAGTCTAGCCGTGAGTCTAGAGATTTTATAATTCGGTGTGCAGACATTTAAATTACGTGTCATTCTTAAGGGCTTTGGGTGGGTCTCAATAAAATGTATTGAAACTATTCTGCAACCTTTTAGTCATAAATTTAGAACAAATGTCGTAAAAACTGCTTACTGTTGAACAGATGTTTCATCTCTTAGGTGATAATAAATGCAACGAAAGCCCAAAAAAACAAAATTGATTGTGACAAAACAGGCGGTTCTTTAGCTCGTTTTTTGTTCATGAACGACGTCGAAAAGGTGGTTTTTGCTGACATGCACAGGGGAAGTGAGTTTTACGTATTAACGACCGGGCGAGTGTTGTTAAGTTAAGATATTTCTCGTTGCAAAAGAAGATGATCTGCGGGGAAAATGCTCCGGCCGTGAGTCTAGAGATTTAATTTATACAGTGTTCAGTAACGCACCCTTTAGCCATTTAAATTACGTGTCTGTCTTAATGGCTTTGGGTGGGTTTCAATAAAATGTATTGGAACTATTCTGCAACTTTTTAAGGCAGAAAATTAAGAACAAATATTATAAAAATTTCTTACTGATGAACAGATGTTTCTTCCCTTTTGTGATAATAAATGCAAAGGAGGCCCAAGAAAACAAAATTGATTGTGACACAACAGGCGGTTCTTTTGTTCATTGTTAGTTCGTAAACGCTATCGAAAAGATGGTTATGCTGACACACACAGGGGAAGTAAGTTTTTAAATATTAACGGCCGGGCGAGTGCTGTTAAGTTAAGATATTTCTCGTTGCTATAGCAGATGATCTGTTGGGAAAAGGAAAGGACTGCCTTAGATTAGCGGCGAGAATATGGTAACAACTCAGAATTTTACAGCAGACGGAACACAAACCAAAACCATGGAATGTTCCCGGTCTATGGCGAGTGTAATACAACCGTATGCATATTATTTCTCGTCAATCCACATTCTGCTTTCCTTAACAGCATTTCTTGGCAATTCTCTTATCCTTGTTGCCCTTCACAAGGAATCCTCACTTCATCCGCCGTCCAAAGTCCTTTATCGTTGCCTGGCAACAACAGATCTTTTAGTTGGTCTCGTCATTCATCCTTTGGCTGTCATCCATTTTATGTCTTTTATTCACGAAGACTGGGGCCGTTGTCGATGGACATACCACGCAATTTTCATATCAGGCCATGCGTTATGTTCAGTATCTTTGTCGACAACGACGACTATAAGTGTCGACAGACTTCTCGCCCTGTTGTTGGGGTTGAGATACAGACAAATCGTAACCGTAAAGCGCATCCAGGTCATTTTAGTTACCTTTTGGATTGCAGCCGGTGTCTTTACTTCATTCTATAGCTTAATTTACCACATAACATTTTGGTCCATCTTTGTAGCGACAGTGTCTTGCTTGATGATCTCATCTGCATCTTACACAAAGATTTTTAGAGTTCTTCGTCTTCATCACACTCAAATACAAGATCATGCCCAGCAACATCCGAGCCAACCAAATGCCCTGAACATCGCACGTTACAGAAAGGCAGTGTACAATGCTCTGTGGGTGCAGTTAGCTTTATTTATCTGTTATCTACCTTATTGCATGCAGGTAATTTTGCGCACTTTAAGTAAAATATCTCCGACACATTTAGTCGTCAGTGAGGCACTAATGGTAGTTTTTGTCTGCTTTAACTCAACCTTAAACCCGTTCCTTTACTGTTGGAAGATTAGCGAGGTAAGACAAGCAGTAAAGCAGGCAATGAGACAAGCACTTTGTTGTTCGTAAGGTGAATTTCTGTTCAGGTTAGATTGTATTGATCCCTATAAAGCTAACTAGCTTGCCAATTGTAAATAGAGAATGAACCAGTAAATGATCGTATGAGAAGAATAAAGACTTAAAACACTTTTGCACCGGCTATCACTGTATGATGAGTGAAGACAACATTACTGATTTCCTCACAAGTGATGAAAACAGGATAGATAGACCCTTGTCACTGGAATCGTTGTAACAATTGGAGTTTTCCTTATAATGCGCTCAAGATACGTGAACTGAAATCACCGATGTCTTTTATTTGCAATATGAATGAACCGGCTACTTTAAACATTAATTTCTACAAAGTAAAAATAAACTCATAGCTTTTAACGAAATAAATTGTTTGTCTGCAATTGCCTAAAATGCAGATCACCTGCGCGGATTATTGCTTTACTTAAAGGTAAACTTCCAGTTGTTGTCGACACCACTCAGTGCCAAGTATTAAGGATTAAAAGTCGCTGAAGTTTTCTGACCAGAAGCCGATAACCTTGAACATAAAATGCTCCCGTTATGATTAATGGCGTTTCAGAGCTTTGGAACTATTTTGCACCTTTCAGCGTATCGAATCAGAATAAATGTCGGTGAAATTGCTTTCTGTTGGAGAAGTATTTCCTTTCTAAGAGATTTAAAATTTAAGGTATACTTAAAGGAAAAATTGACACCTTCTTTGACATAACTGATATAAGTTTGTGCATTTTAAAAGATTAAGCGCTACTGAGAATGTCAAATTTTATTGATTAAGAGTTTCAGTAACCTTTACCAGGCAAGTACTGTTGGGACGAAATACTTCTTAAGGCAATCATCGACAACCTGCGGCAAAAAGAAATAAGGGCTTACTACAGGTAGAATAATGGGGGCAACGAATTTAACTGACAGGAGGTGGTATACATACAAGAGTATTTCACAACTAATGTGTTTCCAGTTTTCATAAGTGGAGTGCAATAAAACGCATATTATCCTTCTGTACTCAAGCTAATTTTGTCCCCCTTTCTCTTAATCTATTTTACCAACAACTGATCACATTGGTTGGTTTTTTTTTAATCCGCGGGTGACAGCATATTGGATATCACTTTGTTACAAAGACTGGAACCTTTGTCGATACACGTGCATCGCAAGCTCCATAACAAGCTATGTATTATGCTCAGTGTCTTGAATTTGTTGACTTTGAATATCATTAGCGTGGACAGATTTCTCTCCCTGTATGCGGGGCTGAGATAAAGACAAATTGTGACTTTAAAGGACATACATATGATCTAGGCCACTATTTGTACTGTATCGCGTATCGCGTATCGCTTGGCTGTGCTGTAGTTAAGATAACCTTTCACTCCTCTGGTATGGCCTTGTAATTATAACATCTCGCTCAAAAATAATTGTAAATCCTTCAAAAATTCTGTGATTTTCTACTGAACAATGAAATACATCTACTTGAGTAAAACAAAATTAATAATTGTCTAATTTATCAAACGAATTAGTTTTTTCGCTGAAACATTAAGTGCTAGAACGATTTAAGCAAAAATAGTTTAGAGAAGCTTCACTGTATCTCTTACATGCAGAGATACAAAAAATCACCGAAAAGAAATTCCTACGGCCAATCCCTGTTAACAGGCCCAGTTCCTCACATACCAGAAAAGGAATCTTTCCGTGCATATGCGAGTGAGCTGGAAAAGACGATCCACATCGTACTCCAGACGATCGACTTTCATGGCCTGAATGTAGGTCTTGCTCAACTGTGCAATGAGTATGCTAAAAAGAATCACAATCATAGTTTCCATGCCATAAACGTCATCATCAGCAGAATTGATAGACAGCTCCAAAACTACTAGTTCAGTAGTGTTCTTAGCTGCGAGGATCTTTTAAATTCGTTATATTTTCGTGTGTTAAAAAAGTTAGCCTGATATCCTTCCCCCGGCCCATGCATATTCTTTCCATCATAGAGAAGTCAGAGAAGCCAAAGTTTTTACCCCTCACATCTCCAAACCTCCGAATATCAAACACCATATGCAGAACGAGATAAGTACTGCAAGCGATAGCAATATTAAAGGGTTTCAAAGCTGTCTGTAAAAATGACTTATCGTAAAGTCTTTACCGAGAGCTTCACTCTGTGTCGTCTTGTTCTTTCTCGCTCTGAATCACTTTTGAAAGACATGACTTGAGCTGGGGGGCAAAGCGGATGCCTTCTAACTGTGACTCCTCCTTCGACAAAATCTACTCATCTTGCTCTCCCGTTCATGAAAATCATTTACTTGTTTTTGTAGCAAATTGGATAACAAAAACTTGCATACAAGCCACAGTCCCTTTTTCAGGGTAAAGATCAGAATAATTGAAGCTCAAAAGAGATCCAGGAATGCTTTTATTTTGCTTTACTCCTTTAGGTAATTTATTTGAAAACCTTCGCCGTTCTCTCAACCAATCGACATCGAAATTGAAACCAATCGCGACTTGGTCCCTTGAAGTTTCCCTCGCCTGACACAGTTTGCTAGTTATTTCTACGGAATGTCATTGGCTCCTACTGATATATTCCTTTCCTCTGATTGGCTCTTCTGATCAATTTGGATTTGGTAGTCGCGAAGTGCATTAGCAAGCTCGACCTCTTCTTGTCAGCGAAATTAACGATGTTATCCATGCATTATCCAAAACACAGAATTTAAGTTCATTTTTTTTTCATTACTCTTCTCAAACAACTTTACAAAGACGAACACATTGTAAAATTCGCAATTTCCTAACGTATGGGAATACTGTTTACACCAAATCACCTGACATAAGATAAAAGGGCATTAAAAACAAAATAACCCTTTTCATTACTCAAAATGAGAGTAAACAGAGTTTCGCATCCTTTTGTTAAAGTATAAAACCACTGATGTCTTTATGTCTGAGTTGCCGTAAATTAACTCCTAACCCCAACTCGCGCTTAAAGACCTAAGTCAAATTAAACCGACCGAGATTAACAGCTGGCCGTTGTCCACGTTGTTGTTCTCCTGTAAGTAGGCCGCCCTTAGAAGAAATCGAATCCAAAAACAATTGGAAAGAAAAAGCTCTGACCATAAAAATTTTCTGACCAGAAGCCTATAACCTTGAACATGAAATATTTCCGTTCTGACTAATGGCGTTTCAGAGCTTTGGAACTATTTTGCACCTTTCAGCATATCGAGTCAGAATAAATGTTGGTGAAATTGCTTTCTGTGGAAGATGTGTTTCTTCCCAAGTGATTAAAAATTCAAGGTATACTTAAAGGAAAAATTGACACCTTCTTTGACGTAACTGATACAAGTTCGCGCATTGAAACAAAATGGTAGTAGTGACCCATCAACCCGAAAAAATTTGGACTTACGACCGTACGACCGACCGCACAAGGTGCTACTTTTAACATGCGTGGTGAACTTTATTGCGGGCACGCCAACGTTACGGCTTTGTCCAGTAGTCCAGTGGTCAGTGCACTAGGCTCCGAGTCGGACGACCCGGGTTCTAGTCCTAACCGGGGCAAGGCGTTGTGCCCTTGAGACGTGCGAGAATTATTGATTAGGTGTATAAGTAACCTTTACTAGGCAGGTACTGTTGGGACGAAATATTTCTTGAGGCAATCATTGACAACCTGCAGAAAAAGGAAATAAGGGCTTATTACAGGCAGAATAATGAAGACAACAAATTTAACTGACAGGAGGTAGAATACATACAAAATTATCACTTCAACCAATGTTACCCTTTTTTCGCAAGTGGAGTGCAAAGACACGCATACTGCGTTATCCTTCTGTACTCAGGGTACTCTTTAAGAAGACTGGAGCCTTTTTCGGTACACGTACGTTGCGAGCTTTATAAGAAGCTATGAATTATGCTCAGTGTCTTGAATTTGTTGACGTTGAGTACCATAAGCGCAGACAGTTGTCTCGCTTTTTTTGCAGGGCTGAGATACAGACAAATTGCAACTTTAATAAAGAGCATACATACTATCAAGGCCACTATTTGTATCGTATCACATATCGCCCGGCTGTGCTGTAGTTTAGATTACCTTTCACGACAACGAAATGAATGAAAGTTCCATCGTTCAGTTTAACTGGAACCAAATACCTCACGTTTTAACTTTCTAGGTACTTTTTGTGGACGATTAAAATTAATTGCAGACGGTTTTTAGGCCACTTGTCAACCAAAGTAATGACACTATTGTTAATACAAATTAATTCAGAAACCAATATTTTTCTGTCAACCAAAGTGGTTTGAGAGGGAGTAAAGAGAGGATTCATAAGTTATTTATTGGCTTGAGATAGTGACCGATGTGTTTGCTTAAAATACTGCCCAGCCGGGAAAACGAGATATATTTATGAAAAATGGCAACGAAATTTGGGATGTACTCGGCGATTCACGAAAGCGTTACCGTGGCTCGTGGGTAGAGAGAGGAAAATACTGACTGGGTAAAGAACCAATTACATTGTAGGATTCGTTTCATGCATTTTGTTTTGACCATCCTGAGTTTTAAAATTTTCTCATGCGGGGGGGGGGGGTTGGGAAGGGGAGGGGGTACAAATGCACACTCTCAGGTGACCTCAACATATATGTACCGTCAACCAGGGTATGGCTCTCGATCGGAATCTTGGATCTTAACTAAGGTACACAATTTGACTAATTCGTGCTTTGAATACAGCATCTCTCTGGACTTATGCGGCCAAAAATAGATTTCATACAAGCTAGAAATCAAGATGAGACGCAAGTCCCCAGTCCCTTTTTCAGAGTAAAGATCAAAATAATTGAGGCTCAAAAAAAGATCAAGGAATGCTTTTCTTTTGCTTTACTTCTTTTTCTGTAAAACCTTCGCCGATCTCTCAACTGATCAAAATCAAAATTGAAACAAATCGCGATTTGGTCCATTGTAGTTTCCTGCGCCTTACGCAGTTTGCTAGTTTTTTCTATGGATTCTCATTGGCTCCTTGTGATATTTTCCTTTCCTCTGATTGGCTCTTCTGATCAATTTGAATTTGGAGCTCGCGAAGTGCATTAGCAAGCTTGACCTCTTCTTGTCAGTGAAATAAATATATGTTATTTGCCGGCTGGGAGGGACGACCCTTAGCCGGTAAATAACATATTTAATTTCTTTTAACTCGGCGAAATTCTTTCCGAAAGAACCCGAATGATTTAGGGCTGTAAATACGGCAAGATCTTCCATGAACTGAACAATTTTTGGGCGAGTAAATGGTGGTTAAAATAGAGGTGATGCAAATTCAAGAGAGATGCCTTAGCGAAACATTTTCATTTCCGTAACGACAAAGGTGATTTAAAAGGCTTCCAAACAAACTTTGAAACATTATTTTTGCAAGTATCTGTCACAATCTGACACCTGTCAATTAGAGAGCGCGTAACAAAAAAATGTGTAAGAACATTTGAAAAACAACGGAAATAGTTTGGCAAGGACTGTCTCGACAATGTTTTCTTCAAAAACAGTCAATGATCTAATGGAAAGTATTATTCACTCTCATCGACGATTCATTCATGTACGAAAATTTACCTCTTTTCATTAAGTAAACGGCGAAGAAAGTAATTGTGAGTAAATTCAAATTTTTTATTTTGAAGTTGTGAGAGTTTGCTTGTTTGTTTGCTGCAATGGCGTGTGTAAATCTGGTCTTTCCTTCACAAAAACTAAATTCGAATGGCACACTCCAACAAGACACAAGGGGATTTAATGCGGCCTTTCATCAAAAATTTTCTTCAGTTTCTTTGTGCAATTTACGGTACAAATGTCCAAATTGAACGGACTTGGAAAGACTCACCGAGAGCGTATATTTGTTGTAGAACTTAAATTGAAACTTCGCTCGCTCTTTCACTACGAACAAATTGCTTGAGAAAATTCAGGTATTAAATGAATGAAAGTTCCATCGTTCAGTTTAACTGTAACGAAATACCTCACGTTTTAACTTTCTAGGTACTTTTTGTGGACGATTAAAATTAACTGCAGACGTTTTTTAGGCCGCTTGTCAACCAAAGTAATGACACTATTGTTTATACAAATTAATTCAGAAACCAATATTTTTCTGTCAACCAAAGTGGTTTGAGAGGGAGTAAAGAGAGGATTCATAAGTTATTTATTGGCTTGAGGTAGTGATTTACTTGTTTGCTTAAAATACTGCCCAGCCGGGAAAACGAGATATATTTATGAAAAATGGCAACGAAATTTGGGATGTACTCGGCGATATACGAAAGCTTTACCGTGGCTCCTGGGCAGAGATAGGAAAATACTGACTGGGTAAAGAACCAACCACATTGCAGGATTCGTTACCGTGCCCTCGCAAAAAAAATAAAAAGCGTTATCCATATATCATCTAAAATACAGAGTTCATTTTTTTTTTCATTAGTCTTCTCCAACAACTTTACAAAGAGGAACATATTGTAAAATTTAAAATTCCTAACTTGTGAGAAAACTTTTTACAGCGAATCACCTGACATAAGATGAAAGCGCATTAAAAACAAAATAACCTTTTCATTACTCAAAATTAGAGTAAACAGAGTTTCGCATCCTTTTGTCAAAGAGTAAAGCCACTGATGTCTTTATGTTTGAGTTGTAAATTGACTCCTAACCCTAACTCGCACGTAAGTCAATTTACACCGACCAGGATTAACAGCTGGCCGTGGTCTACGTTGTTATTCCCAGGTAAGTAGGCCGTCATTAGCATAAATCATTTCCACAAAAAATTGGAAAGAAAATGCTCCGGCAGAGAGTCTAAAGATTTAATAATTTGGTGTTCAGCTTTAGGTGAAAAAAAAAATGTATTGAAACTATTCTACAACCTTTTAAGTCATAATTTTAGAGCAAATGTCGTAAAAATTG